ACTTCATGCTATCTAGACAAGGATGAATCAGGTTTGGAAGTTAATCAAACTATGTATAGAGGTATGATAGGATCACTATTATACTTAACCGCAAGTAGACCCGATATTATGCATTCTCGTCTGTGTGTGTGCTAGATTTCGAGCTTGTCCTAAAGAATCTCATCTAATTGCAGTAAAACATATTTTAAAATATTTAAAAGAAACTACTTATTTTGGCTTGTGGTATCCGTCTCGATGCTTGTATTAGTTTATTAGGATATTCTCGATGCCGATTATGGTGGATGTAAAATTGATAGAAAAAGCACTAGTGGGACATGTCATTTGTTAGGTTCATCCTTAATATCATGGCATTCTAAGAAACAAGCATGTGTAGCTTTATCTACCACTGAAGTCGAGTATATTGCGTACTGGTAGTTGTTGTGCTCAAATTCTGTGGATGAAACAAAAATTAGAGGATTATAGCATATATTTAAATAACATTCCATTAATGTGTGATAATACGAGTGGAATCAACCTAACTAAGAATCCAGTAATGCACTCTATGACTAAACATATTGAAATAAGACATCACTTTTTAAGAAATCATACCAGTAAAGGAAACTGTAAGATAGAGTATGTAGACACTAAACGTCAATTAGCAGATATATTTACTAAGCCTCTATCCAAGGATAGATTCTATGATCTTAGAAGAGACTTAGGGATATTAGAAATAGCTTAAATTCTCGCTTAATTTGACTGCTTTCTGGATGATTGTTATGTTAAAATTCGTGGTGTAGCATGTTCATAGGTTATTATGCATATAAATCTCAAAAACTTGATATAGCCTCTGGATAATCGATTCATCGGAAGTAATAATCGATTATTTTTCCTCAAAACGTCCAAAACAGGGTATTCTCCTTCGGAATAATCGATTATTTCGTGAAATAATCGATTAAATGCCTTCGATAATCGATTATTTGCTAGAAATAATCGATTAAAGTCGTTCTGATATAGGAATAATCGATTATCTTGAAATATAATCGATTAAATACGACCAGCTTTGCCTCCTAGCCGTTGCCAATCGGATATTTTGCCATGGAATCTCTTCTATATGACCGTTGGAAGTGTTTTCTCTATAAATAGAGACATCTAGGTCAATTATACTCACTTCTAACTCTTGTAATCAAGTTTTCTTGAAATCTATACTCTCTTTGCTTCATTATTCCCTCACTTGTCTCCAAAATCTCTTCAAGTTTATCTATTCTTTCTAATGGCCTCATCATCCCGCCCTAAGATTCCTACAAGAAGAAGATCTGCACCTTCTTCTCTTTCCCGTCCTAATTCCGTTGAAGGATGGATTTCGATACTGAAGGGCAATAAGAATTTCTGATGTACTCGGAAGGAACGTGCCATCATTTCTCCTAAGTTTCTCATTGGTGAGCAATTTATACATAGAGGGTTTAATTTTCCAAATCTTCTTGAAATTCAAGGAGTTCTCCCATTTATCCAAATGCAAGGTACTTACTATCCCGACTTAGTTAGGGTATTCTTTTCTAGATTTAAGTTTAGGGATCAAATTGCTACATCCCGTGTCAAAGGAGTGACCATAATTCTAGATGATGATATTTGGGAAAATGTTGCTCACTTCCCAATTAGAGAAGATGCTATTAACGTTTATGGTGAGCTAGATGATTTTGACAGGTTCCTAGCTTATAGATCTTTTTGCGGAATCCCTCCATGGAGATTGGACGTATTCTTCATGCTTGGACCCTTGAAGAAGGAAGAACGCATGATTCTTCATTTGCTTGTCTGGATTTTATGTCCCCGGCCACAAATCATGCCCAATGCTCTTCTATTGATCTTCGCATTATTCATGCCATAATGAATAATGAACCTTTAGATTGGGGTGTTCTTGTCACAATGACAATGTTAAAGGCCAAACGTCATCCAACATTCAAAATTCCATATGCTCTTCTTGTATCCCGAATTCTTGAATATTAAGGAGTCAATGTCGAAGGTGAACAAGTTGTCCGAACTACTAACTTGAACCGCATGCTGGACAACACTTTGATTCATCTACAAATGGTGCGGGTCAATGACATCTATGTTCATAAAGATGACGTCCAAAATCAAGGTGATGCAATTGAAGACTCGGATGAAGATATGCCTCCAGTAGCTGAGTTTCCCTCTACCCAAATCCAAAGTATAGGAACATCCTCTTCTCATCAAGAATCAAGACAATCCATGGAAGACATGCTTTCCGACATGAATCAAAGAATGCAATCATTCTTCAATCTTTCTGGTGCACGGCATGATGAAATTATTCGCCGTATATCCGATGTAGATGATAGAGTAGGTAGATTAGAAAATAGATTTGATACTCACTTCAATGATGAGGATAGTGAAGAATTTTAGATTTTGTTTTGTTTATATCTTTGTATTGTAATGAATGAATGATTATGAAATAAAATTTGATGTTTCTTTCATGCTATGATTGAGGGGGAGCTTTCTCTAAATTATGCATATTTTGAGGGGGAGCTCTTATGATTGATGTTGCAGGGTTCTTTTTGATTATAATCAAAATAGGGGGAGAAAAATTTAAAGCCTATGATTCAATTTTAAATTTTATCTGGTATGTTTAATGTGGTTGTTAGTATGACAGATAAAACAGGTTATTACAAGGGCTTTAAAAAGATAATTTTGATCATCATCAAAAAGGGGGAGATTGTTGAACATTCAAGGACTTGATGTTGCAAATAATGATCATGAAGAATGTTGATTTTGATGATGATCCAAGAGCTTAAAGACTTAGAGTATTGAAGATTGAAGATTGATGATTTCTGTATTGTAATAACTCTGTTTTAGTTTGATTGAGTCTGTAATTATAGAATCTAAGATAGCCGGTACATAGTCTGTAACTTAGAAGCTTCAAAATGCTCAAATTTATCATGCAGGCTCGGCTTTAATCGATTATATAGGTAAATAATCGATTAAAACAGATGAGAAAACCACTTTCTATACAAAGTCACTCGTTTTAATCGATTAAACGAAGAAAATAATCGATTATTTTGTACTCGTTCCGTCATGCATAAGCGATTATTTCACCAAATAATCGATTAATCCAGAGAGGTTTGGGTTCTGTCGTATTTGGCTATGTTTTAATCGATTATCACTCCAAATAATCGATTATTTCAATCTGTTTTTCATTTTAAATTTCAAATTAACCCTATTTTCGAAAACCCAATTACCAAGAACCCTAGTTTCGAAATCCCCAATTTCTAAACCCTAATTTCCCTACTTAAACTCTGCTTTGGCACTCGAGAAAACAAGAACAACTCTTTCCATACAAAAGTTAAGTGCTCGTGAGTGCCGGAGAACTGTTTGTTGCAAGGAAAGGGGGCTTTCGGAACCTGGTGTGGGCTAGAAGCGATAAGAATCACTAAGTGGAGTTCTTAGTGGATTGTGTGCTGTGCCGTCTCTGGGGAAAGCTGTTCTTCATCTCTTGTGGATTTCAAGAGAGGTGTTGTCTTTATCTTTATCTGTTCATTTGTAATCTCTTTGTAACAATTTGTTCTTAGTGACAACGTTAATCCTCTTTTGAGTGATTAGCAACTGGACGTAGGGTCTTTTGATCCGAACCAGTATAAACCTACTGTGTAATCTTCTCTACTCTTCTCTATTTACATTTACGCAGTTTTTAATCGGTAAAATTTGGGGAAAATTTTGAAAACCTAATTTTTATTAAGAAACCAATTCACCCCCCCTCTTGGTTTTTGTCCGACCACGCGAACATTCCGCTGCGCGATTCTAACAAGATCCAAGCCCATATACTTTGCCTTTGTTTATTCCAGCAACTTTACACCAAACCTGTAATTCATCAAGCGGAGAACCTCCTGTAATTTTAGGTGATCGGGTTAGGATTCAAGTTCGTCAGAGTTAGGGTTCTAGTACGAGGTTTCCTGTGTTTTGGTTGGAATTGAAGTCACCGGGGTTAGGGTTAGGGTTGGGGGTTCGACATCGTTGGGGTTGGCTCGAGGTTAGAGTTCGACGTCACTAGGTTATGCGTTAGGGTTCGAGCTCCGCTGGGTTTGGCTTGACATTGGGGTTCGATGTCGCCAGAGTTGGGGTTCGGCCTCGAGTTCGTCGAGGTTGAGGCCGGGGTTGAGATTCGAAGTTGCTTGGGTTTTGATTGGGTGTTTTGGTCACTCGGATTTGAGATTCAAGGTCACTCGGGTTGGATTTCAAGCTTGAGGTCAGGTCATGCATGTCTGGGTTAAAGATCTTCGAAGCCGAATAGAAGGGTGGAGGATTGGGGTTGGAGACACGAAGGTGATTAAGCTCGAACAATGGTGGATAGTCACCGCTACAAGGTCACAAAGAGGGAGTGAAATTGTGAGCGGGAAGGTGAATTTGGGAGGGTCATCGAGCATGAAGAACACAAAATTTTGGAGGATTATCGCGCGAAGAAGATGAAAGTTGGGAGGGTAACAGAGAGGGAGTGAAAATTAGATACTAATTAGAATAATTAAAAAAATTAAAAAATTAAATTAAATAATAAAGTGGCTGAAATAGTAACCGATTTATTGTGACCGAAAATTTAGTTACTATTTCGAGTTACTAAATTAAAAAATAATAATTTGGTTATCGATTCAATCACTAATAGTAACTAACTTTTTCAATCATCGATTTCTGCTACTATTTGACATTTTTCTAGTAGTGTTATTATTAGTATTTATTTTCTTTTATTGAGTCTTTTGTAATTCTGATGGCAACACTTCTATATCAGCTGAATCATTCTTATCAAGAAATAACAAGTGAAATTTTATTCATAAATATTAGAGTTTATCTCTTTTATCTTAGTGAGAGTGATTCTCCTACATTCCTGAGTGATTCAAGAATCTTTGACTGAATCAAAGGACTTTCACATCCTTTATGTGTTGCCTCCCTTAGGAAGAGTGATTTTTTCCTTCCACCTTCTTTCTACTTCCTAAATTTTTTACAAGATTTTAACCCTAAATATCCTAAATCTTCGATGATGTGGTAGAGAATGTATTCATAGTCAGGAATTGAAAGTCCTTCGTATGCCTAATATTAATGTGAGCTCTTTCATCTGACTCTTCCAAAAGCAAAACATCTTCATCAGTGGATCCAATCAGACTGTAGTAGATACGGTAAGGCCTCATTTTCTGATCTGTCACAACATAAAGCAATGCCTGTCCATCCTTAGCCCATGCCAAGTTTGAAACTCGATCTGCCTGAGGCTTACTGCACAACGAACCTGAATTCAAATTTCTAACTGATAACTTGAAGTAGTCATTTTCTTTATCATACATAGTGTATGCAAGAAACTGATGATTAGGTGAAACTTCAGACAGTTCCTCATAAGCATAACCTCCAAATCTCTCAGCTTCTAGATTATAATCAACGAGCTTCTGCTCAATGGCTTTACCCGTAGTGAAATCGAACCCTGCCGGGGCATATTTATGTGAAATGAAATCATCGTTCAAGCTGGCCAATCTTCGGCAGAGAATGGGATAGGGTTTAGCCTCTTCGACGCGGCGGTAGTATAGCCAGGGACCCCAGCGAATGGGAGGGGTGGAGAGGTCATAGGGCATGCGAGATGCCATTTCGAAGTGGAGCTTGTTCAGGAGTGTCTCTGAGTCAGACATGATGGCCTCGCTGTACTTCTCCTCTTGCTCCATGTACACGTCCATGTGTCGCATCGCCACCTTGTCGCTGACCTTGGACATCCAGCTGTAAGGGTCTTATGCCGTGGAAACTGAACTTCTGCGCCTTCTTCGGGGCCTTTGGTGGGGTTGGCGGTGGCGGCAGAGATCTCGGAGAAGTGGTAGATGTTAGGGTTTTCAGGAAGCGTGTCTTTGAGGCTTGAGAGAGAGGCGCGGCTTGATATGGACGAGGCTTTTGACCACTCGAATAAGTCGTTGTTGTTTTCGAATACGTAGCTTCTTGATTCTGTGAGTGGGACATCACTGGTGGAGGTATCGTAGTTCGACGACGGCGATGTTAGGTTTCGCGTTCGGTGCGGACGTGTTTTGGTTGAGAGCGTCTTCTCTCTTCGAACTCCATGGTGTTTTTTTCTCAAAGGTAAACAAGTCACCATGATCATTTTTTTAAGGTGGAGTTGAAAAAGTTTTACCTCCCTCACTGTTTCTGCGTCAATAATATCTGTATGCATTATGTACACGTATATAATATATTTAAGTTATAATTTTTTTTTAAATTTTATGTCGATTAACTTGAGACATATTTTTATTATTATAATTCTTTTTATTATAATATATGTTTAGCTGATATAAATATTTAATATTTTTATTTTTAAAATATTTTTATAACAGTATTAGTCTAGTTAACACAAAACAAACATTCTTTCATGTCTACTATAGAATGACATTAGTCTTTTCAATATTTCCAATATATCGTCACAAAACAAATACTAATTTTCTTATGGTTAGCATAAAAATTATAATTTTTTATTTTTTATAATTTTGTTTCTTTTGTTCGTAGACATGGCTAAAAATATAAAGAAAATCTACCTTAACAATTTTTAAAAAATAAAGAAATAATAACACAAATTTATTTATTTTTATTATTTTTGTTTATTATTATAACAAATATAATTTTTATTTTTTATAATTTTGTTTCTTTTGTTGGTAAGACATGGTTAAAAATATAAAGAAAATGTTCGGTAACAATTTTCTTAAAATAAAGAAATAATGACACAAATTTATTTATTTTTATTTATTATTATAATAAATTAGTACTAGTAGAATAACATAAAAATATGAAATATTTATATAAATATTTTATTTGTTATAAATTAGTTATTTATTTTAATATATTACCATAAATTGTGAAAAAAAGAGTTTTAAAATATTAAAAGAAATTATATATTATTTTTTAAAACAAAAGAAAAGATATATAATAAAATTCAAATTTAACATATTTTATATAATATATTTATTTTTATAAGATAATTAATTTTTATACGATCTCATTTAAGATCTCATTTGAAATTTCTGATTCTTATAAGTTACTAATTAATAATTTTTTTTCATATTTTATTATTGTTATATAATTATATTTGTGTGTGTATTTTTTATCTTAAATAATAATTTTAAATTTAATTATTTTATTAGCATATTCAATATAATATTTTTTATTTATCTTATTATATATATTTTAATATTAAAATTTAAAGACAAATACTATCTTAAATATAATTATAAATAATAATAAAATAAGATAGATATTTTTTTTTCTGAGACGTAATATTAATATTTATCATAGTCTTATTCCAATCCTACTTCATATGTTTATTCATGAATTTTCATTTTAACGACGTTGAGACTAAAATAAATTATATATATATATATATATATATATATATATATATATTGATTTAACAATAATTAAAATTATTTATAAAAATTGTCTTTATAACATAAAAAGTTACTGTAATTATAACAAATTTCATAAAATTTATACTCATGATAAAGATAGGAGAAAGATTTTTCAAAATTTAATATATTAGTTGGTTAATGCAATTAAAATATTATTATACATAATCAATAAAAACAAAGATTAAATATATCAATTGATTAATATAATCAATATACTTATCAAACATGTATTAATTACTGTAATTAAACATTACCATATCATTTTTTTTAATGAAATAAATATAGAAATAAATCATTTACATTTGGGCGAGTAAAATATAAATGTCATAATGTCACGCGAATAATATATAATAACTAAATTAATTGATTAGTGTAATAGGAATAAATCTTTACTATACACACCAGAACATCATTTGATTAATTAATTAGAGTATAAATTTGTCATACGCGCCTTAATTATTATGATAAAATATAATACTTTATTTTTATGAATAAAATAAATATAAATATATAAATAAATCATTTATATTTTTACAGAAAGAATATCGATATCATATGTACTTGAGAAAACCCACTGTTTACAATAAAATAAATTATAATGGCACTTATGAGTACAAATTATTATTTATTCTTTCAATTTACAATAATCTTCTTTATTAATATGTAAATGTAATGGTCTTGAAATGAAAAATGAATGTTTAACAACTAAATATAAAATATACACTTAGTTAACCATCAATAATAATAATAATAATAATAATAATAATAATAATAATAATAATAATAATAATAATAATAATAATACGTTAATAAAAATAACTAATTTATACTATATTATATTGTTAAGTTTATATATTTAAAAGTATAACTATATCATAAAAATTGTGCAATTTTTTAAAATTAAAAAAGTTATATGCGTAGAATTTTAGAAGATAAGATGTCATTATAATTCTAAGAAATCTCAAACTTGATATAATTTTCTTTTATAATATAGTTAATAATTTATATATTTATTATAGTAATTTATTTTGCCAATAAAAATAGTTACAGAGAATAAAAGAAAAGAAAGATAACCAATTTAATTGTATCTTTTATATCCTTTTCCAATAATAATTACATGAAATATCTTATTCAAAATAAATAAATAATTAAAGAAAGAAATAATATATTGAATTAGATATTTCATTAGTTTCTTTCTATCAATCTCTCGTATAAAAATAGGACTTCCCTCTGAAAAGTTTGCAGAATACTATAAACAATAGTTCTTCCTTCTCAAAAATTTGCAGAGTTCCATCGTTCTTTGTTTAGTTATCCATAACAAATTCAGAAAGAATGCAGACACAACGATACTACTACCACGTGTCGAGGATGAATAATCAACACACCACGCTTGTGCCTGGTGATACTTTCAAATTGCACATCAAAGTTTTATATCACTCAATCCACACAACCCCAGAAGGGTTACAGCATCGATTTTCTCCAAGATCCATACCCTCCCATGATTTCTTCCAAGAGGGTCAAAATTTCTTGCACTCACTGTTGTCAAGCACACGCTTCTCCATTGAATCTCTTGAGGAAATAGCAGAGGGGGTTGTTTCTACTGTTCGAGAATTGTTTCATGTTGGTAGCGTTGATGCTCTTCTTTCTTTGGAATCTCAACATCGAGTCATCCCTTTATCAGTGACCGTTATAATATTGAATTATGATGTGGATGCAGCCAGGGAAGCGTCGAGGCAGTGGTCTAGAATGAATAATGCATCCAACGAAGCCATGATAAAGACCTTTCTGAAGAAATGTACAGTTATGAGAGGGAGTGAAGATTGTTCTATCTGCTTGGATAGGTTGAATATCAAGGCTGAGTGCTACACAATGCCATGCCATCATGCATTTCATCTACCATGTATTCTCACATGGCTCAAAACTCGTCCCCTGTGTCCCTTGTGTCGCTCCCCTTTGCCAACTCTTGAAAACTAGCAAGAATGTTCCAGTTGTATGATAGAAATTTTTTAGCAAGTTCTATTAAATTCATGTAATGTTGCTTCAGTCATTCTTTTGCTATAGCAAGATGAGTGTGTTATCAAGATTACGCAATACATTCTTGTTTATTCATTGTTTTGGTTCATATTAATGTCAAGAATTTCCATAGGTATTATTTTATGTGCAGAAATTCTGAAATTTTAATTCCTACTTTTGTTTGAGTTGTGTACACCACTGAAATTTGCTTATAAATTGCCGAAGAGACATAGCAAATGCTTTGTTTGGACCATTTTACTGCATAATGGATTCTATGATTTCTAATATCAAACTTGAGATGTTCCTTGGCTCAAATTCTGTTCTTGGTCATTGTAAAAAGGGTGTGGATATATGTTGGAAGGCTTTTTAGCTTTAGATGAAAGTGAAAGGTGTTGGTTTAGTACCTTAAACATAAGATTCCTACATGTTCACAACCCAATCTGCATAATACAGTATAAATAGACCGTTCTGGTGTCATACTTGGTTTAAATGTGGTTTAAGTTTGCCTACCATGTTATAAGCTTGACATATTGGACCTATTTTGCACAAAAGAGTTTTCTTTGTTTAGAACTAAGCCCCGGACCCAAAAAAAAAATACAAAATAGATATTTTAAGCCTAATCTTGGAGCTAAACAGTCAAGCCAATAATGAGGAAGCCAGTAGTTCTAAACTTGTTTTGTGAGTAAGCTTAAGAGAATAAACTAGTATAGCTAACAATCTCTTGGACTCGCAGTGGATGTTGTATGGCCTCTTGGTGCTCTCAGTTTGTGGTAAAAGTGGACAAGCCTAGTACCTAATTCCTTGTCCAATTCCATGTAACAGCTATAAACCAGTAAAAATACAAATTTAGGTACAAATTTCTGCCTAAGTATGAACTTGGTTAGTGTTTCTATACATGAATTGGCCAAAACCTCTCTTTATTGCTCAATTGTGGACTAAAACGGACATCAGGATGTAAGGATAATGTGCTTGAGGAAATTTAAGAATTTGAATAAAAATTAAATTCCACAGAAATTTTATTAGAGTAGGAGTAAAACTAAGGTATAGAAAGTCTATTAAAGCCAAATCTGTCCAGGGTCCCAAATCCTTTACGAGCCAGGTTTTAGCACTCAATATATCAACAAGATAAAACAACAAACGATCTAAATCCTAATGAGTGGAAAACATAGGGACCAAAGGATTACAAACCCAAATGAGTAAACACATGTAAATTTAAATCTGAAAATATTAAATGTTTTTGAGTCTTCCTTACTCGTATATCCTTAAACTTTTCAGACTTTTATGTAACCTGTGACTCCAATTCAGGCTTATATTTCTACTGTATATTAGAACTAAATCCCAAATTGATGAAAACTCAGGACTACAATATTCCTTGAACTTCTATTTATGTTGTTGCATGTATATAACAATATAAGTTTTCAAATTAAACCAAAGCTATTATCTAAATTCATGGGTAAACTTATTTCAACTCCAAAGCTACTCCACCTAAGTGCGTTGAGAAAGGAGCTTGTTCTTAGTTTAAATCATCGAAACAATCGTTTTACTAAAGAAAAAACACGTTACACATGCTCAAACGCAGGTTTGTTTATTCCTAAAATCCAAACTTCAATACAACAAGGGGAATCATTTCAATTTCTAAAATACAAGTTTTGTCAATGAAGAAAATACAAAGAATGCAAAGTTCAAAGAATTAAGAAAATTGGTACCCACCTCCCAGACGGCGAAGTTCAGCGAGGCGTCTCTGACGCTTTTAACTCTGTTCATTACGAGGATGCAGTGTGGAGAAGAATATAAGTTATATTATAATTAAAATTTATAATAAATAAATAATTTTAACATATTAATTATATTATAGATTTATAATAAATAATTAATGTTGTGATGCTTTTTCTTTTAATTATTGATCATTTCTTTTATAAACTTATTTAAATTTAAATTAAAACCGAAAGAAAATACATTCGAGTAGATTAAGAAGTTTAAATAGTTTTGTTTATGTTAAAAAATAAAAAGAGTTTTTTTCAATTGGATTCTTAAATTCATTGTATTTATTATGATTAATAAAAATATAATAATTTTTATATTAATGTATATTATGATAATAATATATAATAGTTAGATTTAATTAATTAATTATATATAATATTATATTAAAGAGATAATAATTAACGTTAAATATGTATAAATTATTCCTTAAAAATAACCCTACTTAAATTTTCGTAATGACATAAGTATTGAAGTATCTTTATAAATGAACTTTTTTTTTTAATACAAGATAGAGTTTGACCTAATAGATTATGAAGACTTATTGTCAAAGTCTATCTGTTTAAGCTCATCCTTTATTATTGTTTTTACTACATTTTTCGATAAGAATATTTGACACCCTGGGGACTCGGTGAAATATATCTCAAGGCACATTCATTAATTACTTTATATAGAAAAATGAATGTTGAAGACATCATCATTAACTAGCACTACTAGAAAAATGTCAAATAGTAACCGAAATCAGTGACCGAAAAATTTAGTTACTATCAGTGACCGAATCAGTAACCAAATTATTATTTTTTAGTCTAATAACCGAAATAGTAACCGAATTTTCGGTCACAAAAAATCTGCTATTATTTCAGTCACTTTATTATTTAGTAATCGATTTAGTGACTAAAATTTCAATCACTAAAAAAATAATTTTTAAACTCGATAACTATTTTTCATTTATATAAATATTTTATTTAAAATATTTTAAATATAAATTTACTTAATGATTTAAAATAATTGATAACATTTTTAATAAAATTATAAATATTTTAAAAAAATTGTTTACTAACTTATTAAATAATTTAGTAATATAATTATTTGATTTTATTTTTTAATTTAGCATGTGAATAAAAAAATTAAAATTGATTATTAAATTAGTCACCGAATCGATCATCGATTCGGTCACCGAATCTGATCATCGATTCGGTCACCGAACTCGATCACTCGATTCTGATCATCGATCTGGCCACCGATACTCGAGTCACATCGATTCGGTCACTCGATTCGGTCACCGATTCTGGTCATCGATCTGGCCATCGATTCTGGTCATCGATTCGGTCACTCGAATCGGTCACTAAATCAATAATTAAATTAATTATTAATTTAGTCTCTTTATATATATATATATATATATATATATATATATATATATATATATATATTACTTGTATGTTAATAAAAATGTATTTCAATGTATTTATAAAAAATTAAAATTATTTTAATTACTGAATTGATATTTTAAATTTATATTAATATCTTGAATAATTTAATAGTTGGATATAGATATATATACAAGTAATATATATATATATATATATATATATATATCACTTTAATTTTTTTAATTAAAATTAATTTCATAAAAAAATTAATATTTGAAAATTAAAATGAAAATATATATATATATATATATATATATATATATATATATATTTTAAAGATGATATATTCAATGTATGTTAAAAAAGTTCAAGCCAAACTGCTTTTATAGAAGATTTTCAAAATCATCTGGTTTAATTAATCGTTAAAAGATTCTTTTAATATGTTAAAAGTGCAGCTTTAATCTGTTAAAACTTCTTTTAATCCATTAATACGTTCTTGATTCTTTAACAGATTTGTTTTAACTAATACGACAACGCTTATATCAATTAAAACACTTTACAAAAAATCTTTTAAGTTGATTTAATCGATTGTTCAGCTATTCAATCGATTGAAATACTCGCAAAACTTTCTCCTAAAACTTTTCAAGTTATTTTAACTGATAAAAATAAGTTTTAATCGATTAAAACGTTAGTGCGAACTCGTTTTAATCGATTGAAACGAGATTTAATCGATTAAAATAGTTATGATCGGTCATAAATGAATTCTCGACCGATCATAATTGAAACCATATAATAGCGGTTCAAGGGTTAACCGCTATCTAAGTCATATTTTAAGAGCTGCTCTCGTGTAACCGCTATGTAAACCTCATCTCGCTTGAGCGACAATATTCTCGCTCGAGCGAAACGCCCCTGCACAAAATTAGTACTCTCGGGTTGTATTTCGCTTGAGCGAGCCTATCTCGCTCGAGCGATAATTGATTCTGATCGATTATATTTTTGAAATGATCGATCATATTTGGTAATTTTTTCAAATAATTAATTATAATCGATTAGTTTTCTAAATTATTGATTAGAATTGATTAGTTTTTCAAATAATAGATTAGAATTGATTAATTTCGAAATATATACTAAAAAATATAATTAAAACTATAAATTAGTTAAGAATATTGACTATTGTAAAGATAAAGTAGAAACATGGGAGGAGATGAGGATGATAATATAATGATAGAACTTACAAAAATGTAGAATTGAGAAGTTTGAAACAAATAAAAATAAGAAAATAGATATTTAATTACACTTTTAATAAATTTAAGATAATACTAGTTTTAATTTTTATTTTTAAATATTTATTTTAAATATTTAAAACAGAGAAACTATAATTTTAGTTTCTAGCTACTCGAATTTAAAGAATTAAATTTATTATTTAATCTTTTAATTTGTAGAATTAAACTCAATATAATTGTTAAAAATACTTTGTAGAGGCATTTGAGAAAGCTTTTGTCAAAATACTTTGTTTTTAATTGTTAAAAACATTTGTAGAGGTATTTTGCAAAACATAATTGAGATGATATGATAGCGGTTCCACCTTAACCGCTATCTAAAGTATAATTAAGATAGCGGTTAATGGTTAAGTGCTATTAGAAGTTCACTTTTAAGAGCGGTTCCTGTGGAACCGCTATCTAAAATGTATTGCGCTTGAGCGACAATATTATCGCTCGAGCGAAACTCCAAGTGCACAGAATTCGCATTCTCGGTGTATTTCGCTTGAGCGACACTTTTCTCGCTCGAGCGAAATACGATCCTGATCGATCATAACTTGAAATGACC